TGTCAAGAAGACCTTGTCCTGAAGATTGCAACCATTGTACTAGGCAAGAGAGTAAGGAAGAGGTATCCGTGAGGATGCTCAGGACAGACCACCTCAGGAACGAATGGAAGGACAGCTTACATGACATGTACAGCAGGAAGATCCGGACATCAAGCCGATTCTGGAATGGATAAAGCCAAGTGCTCCCAAGCCCAAGTGGAGCGACGTCTCAGCGATGAGTTCGACCACTAAAAGCTATTAGGCCCAGTGGGACAGCTTGCTGCTTCAGGATGGAGTTCTGTGCCGTAAATGGGAAAATGTTCGGGGAAACAGCTGTCATTTGCAAATGGTTGTCCCTAAAGCTAAAGTACCGGATATTCTACAACTGTACCATAATGATTGTTCAGGAGGCCATCTGGGAGTTAAACGAACTCTACTGAACATCCGAGAACGGTTTTATTGGGTCCACTGTCGAAACGATGTCGAGGACTGGTGTCGCAAATGTACAAGTTGTGCGGCTGTAAAGGGACCTCAGACTCGTAGTAGAGGTGCATTGAAGTTGTACAATGTTGGTGCACCATGGAAAAGAATAGCCATTGACGTGGCGGGGCCGTTTCCGGAGAGCGAAAGCGGTAACAAGTATTTCATGGTTGTGATGGATTACTACACTAAGTGGCCAGAAGTCTTCACCATTCCAAATCAAGAAGCTTCAACAGTTGCAGATAAACTCATGATGAGTTCATGAAGTCTTTTGTCGTTTTGGAGTACCTTTAGAGGTTCACAGCGATCAAGGAAGGAATTTTGAGTCTCATATATTCCAGGAAACTTGCCGAGTTATGGGTACTCATAAAACAAGAACGACTTCTTATCACCCGCAATCTGATGGAACGGTAGATCGATTTAATCAGACATTGGAGAGGTACCTAGCAAAAGTTGTAGACAATCGGCAACGAGATTGGTACAAGCACATACAACCGTTTTTGTTGTCATATCGAAGCGCTGTTCACGAAAGTACAGCAGTGACACCAGCTTTCGCAAACTTTGGAAGAGAATTACGGCTGCCTGCAGACCTGATCACCGGGATACCACCTGATGCTCCACGCAGTGTAACCGATTATGCAAATGACTTGCGGAACAAAATGAATGACGTTTATGAGCACGTCAGACAATCGGGCCAGCAAATGTCTGAAAAGATGAAAACCCGGTACGACCGCAAAATGAACAAAAAAGGGTTCGACGAAGGTTCACTTGTGTGGTTGCACAATCCAGTCTGCAGCAAAGGGAAATCTCCTAAGCTTCAAGCTAAATGGGACGGCCCGTACCGGATTGTGACCAGGATCAACGATGTAACCTTCCGGATACAGAAAGGCGCAAGAGGGATTCCTAAGATCGTCCATGTGGATCGCCTGGCGCGTTATTATGGGGCCGATAATGCTCGGGACGAGCATGTCTTAGGAGGAGGCAGTGTTACGCGCCTAAGTCGACGGCACTAGCGCCATCTAGTTTCGAGAACTAAACTTCTTGAAGATGAATTATTCTCGGTACCTTGCGCGTGTTTACTTGAATATTCTGGATATTTCGGTGCTAATTTATATTTATAGGCGCTGCAAGATGCGATCGGTGAAGTATTGAATTCGGCGAGGCAAGCGAAACTTCGAAGCGAAATACAGTGAATTAGTGTGCTTAATTATTAGTGTTTTAAGTTTTAATTTGTGTAAAGAAAATTAAAGTGTTAATTTATTTAATTTTATCGGCAATTTTTATTGTCACGAACCTCAAGCTCGTAACACTATTTATCAAATTGAAATGAATGCTACACGAACACAATACTGGTTATTTCCTTACTATAAACCTCTAGAAATTTTAACATATAATATTTATTTGCAGTATCTAGGTATTTAAAAAAGTACTCTGTCTGTACTTACAGCTCACAGTGTGTATGTTTTTGATAAAGTAAAGTAAATTCACAAGTTCACAATTTAAACAGAACTTGTTTGAATTGTGAACTTGTGAATTTACTTTAATATATAGCAGCTATAATATTATATTGTAGTATGTGTATGTAGTCTTTATTCACAGGTAAAATCAGAATTAAAATTTCAGAAATGAAAATGAAATGACAACTTTTCGATATTGTTGTAGGATGCGTTCATAAATATTTATTTTATTCAAATATATATATTGCATTCAAATTTTCAACCATGTACGACCGGTTGCTTTCGCTTCCCCCAACAGCAAAAAATTAAAAAACTGCAGTATCTTACCCCAACCAGTTTGGGAATTTTATCGCTAGTTCATGAATCAGATGAATCAGTCCGATTCGAGAGGTTTTTAGATCGATTCAGTGAATCGATGCGGTGCTCCGAATCGATTATTTTACTCCAAAGAATCGATGTTTCGATTAATCGATTTTAGATCGACATAACTACTACGCACTGCGCGAGTGCGTCGACGCCATGCTGCGGGACGGCACCAACGAGTCCGTCGACTGCTCCGACTGGGCCTCACCGATTGTTCCGGTAAATAAAGCGGATGGCTCCTTGAGAATTGTGCTGCCTATAAAGAAACCCTTAATCCGGTATTGCAGATTGATCGATATACCTTACCACGAATTGATGATCTTATGGTAAAATTGAGCGTGGCATGCTATTATTCCAAAATAGATTTATCACAAGCATACAAACAGATCAAGTTAGATGATACAAAAAAATATACAGTCATAAACACACACAGGGAATTGTCTTGTCTATGGCTTGTCGGCGAGCACGGGAATATTTCAATGTATAATGTGTAATGTACTGCAGGGGATACCTAACGTAGAAATATTTTTAGATGACGTCATCATCGAAGGGAAAACCAAAGACGAACATTTAAAGGCTCTCGAGATCAACGAAATTACGAATCTTCAACCTTATTGGAATAGACACAAAGAATTATCCGAGGAACTGGGCTGTATAATGTGGGGCCATAGGTTAGTAGTACCGAAAAATTGCAGGGACAAAATCTTGGCTATGATTCATGAACCTCATATGGGAATAGTGAAATCCAAAGCGCAGGCTCGAAGCTATGTATGGTGGGCCGGCATGGATAAGGCGGTGGAGCGTGCGTGCCGTGAGTGTATAACCTGCGCGGCGCAGGCAGATGCGCCGGCGCGGAACACGTCGCGAATGTGGCCCTGGCCCGCACGGCCTTGGAGTCGGCTTCATTTGGATTTCATGGGTGCCATCGCGGGAAAATATATTTGGTAGTAGTTGACGCCATGTCGAAATGGATTGAGGTTCATAAAATGACGAGTATCTTTGCCAACTGTTTAATTGACCGCTTAAATGAATTATTTAGTAGATTCGGCTTACCTCGACAAATAGTAACGGACAATGGAGCACAGTTCACGTCGAAAGAGTTCGAATATTTTAACAAGCACAACGGCAAAGAGCATGTTTTTACGGCACTCTATCACCCTTCCTCGAATGGTCTTGCGGAAAACGCGGTAAGAACATTAAAACGAGTAATAAAAAAGGCGTTGGAAGATAATCAAAATGTAGATTGGGCGTTGTGGACATTTTTAATGTATTATAGAAATGTCGAACACGCAACAACGGATGAGTCTCCAGCAATGCCTATGTTTGGTAGGCGAATCCGTACACGATTGGATGTCATCAAACCTGATTGGGAATGTCAAGTGCATCAAGCTCAGCGACGCCAGCAGGACGCGGCCGCAGGAATGAGTAGGAATTTCGGCAAAGAGGAAGAAGTATGGTATAGGCAATACTTAAAGGGGAAAAAAATGGATTCCGGGTCGCATTGTAGACGTTCTCGGCTCTAGTAATTTTAAAGTGAAAGGTAAAGACGGAGAAATTATACGTAGGCATATCGATCAGCTGTGTAAACGACAAAGTAACAGTAGACTATCTCTCGCTTCTACTACGCCCAATTTGGATCAACAGTCCACCAGAGATTCTCAAGAGGTTCATTTGCCGATAGGTAGTAGTAGTCCCGCCCGCAGGTCGGAGGAGCCGACGGAGGCGACTAGCTCGTCCCCCATGGAGGTCAGATCAGGAGTGGATCAGTCTAAGCTAGGGGGGCTATTCCGGAGCCACCGGAACGGCAGTTCTCTTTGTCCCTTGTTGCTACACTCCGAGCTCGCCCTATAAGGAAATGTAGATTGAATAAACCTAGTTATACGGAGTAGTGTAAGTAATTGTTGTTTTAAAGTATAATATGTGGTACCTTTAGGGGTAAGACATAGTTTAAGTAAAGGTAATTTAAGTACTACTTAAATTAAAATTACATAAGTATCATCGTTAGGTTTAAGATAGTTTTAGTTATGTATTAGTTTAAGTATTATTGTTATGGTTGACTTAGGATAAATATTGTATGTTATTAACACAGGTGGGACAGGTGGCGCTATTTGAGCAGTTAACATAGGCTCCGTATAATTTTTGTTTTAAAAATATTGTAAACAAACTTTACGTAACTATTTTATAATCTAAGTATTAATTCTAACGTAATTTAGTGAGTAGAGTGTTATCTCGCTGTTTGGAGCTATATTAACAGTGCAAAGTTGATGAAAGTAATCCAGTGAATTAGTGAACTATCAATTGTTGTATTTATTGTAATAAGACAGTGTTTTTTAAAGTGAAGCGCTAAGGTACAGTACTAACGAACTAAGTCACATTGCTATCAACCCTCTATTGTTGTGTTAAAGTGAAAAAACATAAATTTTGTATTAAAGTGAGAGTTATGGTAGTTTGAAATGTTTAAATTTATGTGACTCGTACATCTGATTAAATCAGCGACACCTATGTCATAATAGATTACCTGAAGAGAATAACTATTTTTGAATTATCACGCCATCTACTAATTACTGGCGAAATATAGATAGGTACGAGCTTATGCTAATCGATCAGTTAGATTAAGTCTACGGTCACCCATTAGAGGGCGCGCGCATTCATCTGATTTGGGAATATTTTAATTTTGAAATAAGTCCTAGTTTGTTAGTCATATTGAATCTATTGTGTGAAATGATGTCACCACCAACCGAGACTTGTGCTGCATGTGCGAAACCTTTACCCAAAAGAGAATATCTACGTTGTTGTAATTGTAAAGGAGTTTATGACATTGAATGTCTAAATATAAGTAGTAAACGCTTCTATTCTTTATATTCGTTTAATAAGGAGCGTAAAGATAATTGGAAATGCCTTTCATGTGTGAGCAAACTCCCGCGAACGAATAATTTGAATACACCAGTGCGTACTGCTGAGTCTGAAATGTCTAGTCCCCCGACTTTGGTTGTCTCACCAGAGAACTCGAATGTGGCAGTCCGCGGCAAACCACCTACAAAAAATACTCAGGACAAGAACGTTCCTGAAGAGGACAGCATCATCATGGAGAATATTATGTCAGAATCGCTCGATGATACAGCTATGGACTTCAAACTGCTTCTTGGTGAAATGAAGGCAATCCGTGCTGAGATGCGCTTGTTCCGTAATTCTATGACAGATCTTATGACTGCCATTAAGATGCAAAGCAGCCGCATTGACTCCATCGAAACCAGAATATCAGCCTTAGAAGACAAGTCAAAAGGCTTACAACGCTGTGAAGTTTCGACTTTGGAAGAGACAGTGTCACAGTTGAAGTCACAAATATTGGAACGTGACCAAGACTTACTCGCTAATGATATCCAGATAGCGGGATTCCCTGAAACGAGTGGTGAAAATACCACACATATTATCTTGGCTATTGCCAAGAAATTATGTGTGGACCTGGATGAGTGCGATGTGGTGTCTTCAGAGCGTACAGGTTTTATACGCGATAATGGCGAGGGCTCTTCAGTTCCGCGGCCACGCCTTTTAGTCGTGCGATTGGCGCGTCGTGCTCAGCGTGATGCTCTAATACAGGCGGCACGAGTACGACGCAATATCACCACTGAAGGTTTGGGACTGACGGGAATAGCTCGCACCATTTATGTCAACGAGCGTCTTACTAAGCACAATAGCCGGTTATTTTATAAAGCCCGTGCGACAGCGAAAAGGCTTGGTTGGAAGTATGTATGGTCACGTGATGGAAAGATTTATGTAAGGAAGGAACATGGGAGTGAGCGACATCGGCTTCGGTCGGAAGAAGATTTGACCAAGGTTTTTGGTGTGGAAGCTGTTGGCTCTAAAACTATGTCACTCGGCGAATAATAAGAATATGTTATTTATAATTATTTTTATACAAACTTTTTACATTAAATTACAATTTTTTTATTTCATAAATGTTACATTAACATACGTTTCATTGTTATATTCTGGCAGATTAGCGGTATATAAAGTTAAGATATATAAATGTATTAATATGCTTATTATTTTACTTTTGCTTGCTTCAACATATTCAATAATATTTTATAATGACACAAAGGTTATGTACTCAAAGATATCTTCTTACAATTTAGTGTTTTATTTATGTGTTAGAAAAAGTATTAAATTATGTTACACATATAATTATCTTGTGAAATATGTGATACGTTACAATAGTTTTTATGGCCTAATAATAATATATTGTATAAATTTTTACCTGTATATATGGAATTGTCTAAACTTTCTTAATAGATCTTCAACAGAAATTCCTTTCATCACTTGTATACTTTATTTTCTAAACTATTTAGTGCTATTGTTGAGGGAGGTGATATTTCTTTGTTTTTTTAATTTGATTTATGTTTTGTTCGTTTCGAGTGTTGTACTTTTCGCTAGCATTTTATATTGTCTTTTTTTTAATAATAATTTCTATGTCACAGTGTGCGTTAAAACATTTTTAAATCAAATTACTCTAGGAATAGCCTATATACTTGTATATTACAAGACGTTCGTTAGTTTTCATAAATTATTATTGCATTTATCGACGCGTTCATTTGTGGATATGCGACATCTGACTTTACTAAGAAAATATTTATTTAATTGCAAATATGTTCAGATAACATATTCTTTTTATCATACAATTTATTAGTAAAAAAAAATTATCTCTTGGTTTTCTGAATCCGGGTTCCTTATGTACACGACATGATGAATTTTTGGTTTCCCTTGATCGTCATGCGGTAGATATTATGGCGATAAATGAAACGTGGTTGAAGCCAGGTGAGGAACTGCGCGCACCGTCCCCTCCAGGATACAAGCTACGACACAAACCGCGTCCTGCAAGCGTCCGAGCACGAGGAGGGGGTGTTGGTTTTTACATTAGAAATGGTATCCACGCTCGCGTCCTGGACCATCCGAGTACGCTCACTATTGAACAGATGTGGTTAGGTGTTAAAGCTAATGGTCTGAAACTTGCCATAGGTACCGCGTATCGTCCTCCTTGGTTTCACGTTGATAATTTTATAAATGATCTTTCCGATACAGTCAGCTCATTCTCAGCCTACGACTATATTATACTGTTGGGAGATTTCAATATTAATTTGCTTGCACCTTCTGATCCTAATTCTAAAAAGCTCAATGATTTTCTTCTTTGTATGGGTCTAAGGCAGTACGTCACACAAGCGACTCATTTTACTGATCACTCGGAAACTTTACTTGATTTAATTTGCAGTAGCTGTGATGTATCTAATATACAGGTTGATTATGTGCCAGATCTAAGTCATCACGCTTTTTTATCTTGTGATCTGAACGTAAAAAAGCCGAAGCAATCCTCAACATCTATTACTTATAGACCAATTAAGGATATAAACGTAATAAAATTTAATTCTGATGTTGATGCTGTATTCTGGGAAGAGTTGCTTTGCGGCGACGTAAACAGTTCTTTAACGGCTTTCAATGCACATATTTTGTACCTGTTTGATATTCATGCACCAATAAAAACGACCTACATAAAATGCCAAAGCTATCCGTGGATCACGCCAACGATTAAAGAAATGATGAAGCTAAGAGATAAAGCTCATGCAAAATGTAAGGGTCATAATTCAAAAGGAGACAAAAAATATTATAAAGATCTGAAGAGTACTGTTAATGCTGCTTTACTGAGCGAAAAAATAGCCTACTTTCGATATTTTATTAATAAAAATTCAAAAAATGCTCAAGTACTTTGGAGAAATATAAAGAAAAATGTGATAGACTTCAACAAAAAAGATATTGCTTTGCCATCAAACTTGAATGATCCTGACGTAATAAATCACCATTTTCTACACGTGCCAGGAAGCAATAGTGTAAGTCCTTCAACATTATGCTATTTTGAATCTAACCGTTTCAATTCGTCGGTTTTCACTTTAAAATTAGTGGATGAAAATTTAGTATCAGAAATTTTGAAAAATATTTCCACTAATGCTATGGGTGTTGATGGTATCACTAAAGATATGGTTCTCTTAACATTGCCACGGACTTTGAAAACAATAACCACCATTATTAATACGTCTATACAGACAGGGGTGTTCCCAGACATCTGGAAGGAAGCAATCATAAATCCTATACCAAAAAATAATCATCCTGTAGAACTAAATCATCTTCGCCCTATAAGTATGCCTTTTTTATCTAAAATCGCTGAAAAGGCTATTTATTTGCAATTAATAGAATATCTAAACCAGAAAAATATTTTACCTCTTAAACAATCAGGTTTTAGGGCTGGACTAAGCACGGTTACAGCACTGTTGAGTGTTGTCGATGACATTCTAACAGCGCAGGATAACGGAGAGGCTACAATTTTGACTATACTTGACTTTTCGCGTGCGTTTGATACAATAAATATTACACTGCTTCTGTCGAAGTTGGTGTATTATGTTTTTGATTGTAACGCATTAAAGTGGTTTGAAAGTTATTTGAATGGTCGCACACAGCGAGTCAGGCTTCGAAATGAAACTGGTACCAACATTTTTTCTGCTGCGTCTCCTGTTACTCGTGGTGTTCCACAAGGGTCAATTTTAGGTCCTTTACTGTTTATTCTCTACAGTGCTGATATTACAAGCTGTTTTAAATATTGCCAGTATCATTTATATGCAGACGACCTTCAAGTATACATATCATTTAGGCCGAGTGATACAAATGAGGCAGTTAAAAATTAAATCAGGAGTTAAGTATGATCGCTGAATGGGCGAGTAATAATGAACTCATCTTAAATCCAAATAAAACCAAGTTCATGATTTTGGGGTCAAAGAAATTAATAGAACGAACGAATGCTCATAAGCCCAAAGTTATTGTTGGTGGCGACCATATTGAACAAGTATCTGAAGTTCGTAACTTGGGTATAATTATGGACAGTAGACTAAGATTTGAAAATCATGTTATGCATACAGTGAAAAATTGTTTTTATAGATTAAAAGTATTATATAATATCCGGCAATACTTAAGTGAAGAATTAAGGGTTCAACTTTGCGAGTCATTAATACTCTCTAAGCTAAATTATGCTGACATTGTCATGGGAGAGTGTTTGCTTGCGCGAACAAAACTTGTTATACAACGAGTACAAAATGCATGCTCTAGGTTCTGCTATCGAATTCCTCGTAGAGGCCATGTGACACCGTTTTTAAATCAGGGCAAACTTATTAATATGAAATCTCGTAGATCGGTTCATTACAGTTGTTTACTTTATAAATTATTACAAAGTCAACAACCGAAATACTTATATGAAAGGCTCAGTTTCTCGGAACGTCTCTCGCGGGAAACTGTTCGATTATTGTACCCAAGACACAGAACGGCCGCGTTTCGTGGTAGCTTTCGGTATGCTGCCACAAAGTGTTGGAATAATATACCACCTCCGATCAAGGGCAGCAAAACAGTTGGCACTTTTAAAATAAAACTAAAAGAATACATTTTAAATTTGCAAAGTAAGTAGAATTCTGTGTCGATGTATCACATTTTTCTTATAAAGTATACTGTGTCTATATATTACAAAACTAAGGAATACTTGCTTAATTGTAAATTTATTTATTTTGCTTTTGTATCTTGTCAAATAATTTAATTGTGTGTCTTGTGCCTTGCACATGCCTTTTGTTGCGCTTTTTGTTGTGTTTGCTTTTTTGTTGTGCCCTTTTCCTAAGTGCTAACAGTTTTATTTTTATTTTTAAATTGTTATAAGTGTGTTTTTTATATAAGTAAAGTATGTATTTTCATAAGTGTTGGAACCTGTGATTAGTATAATAAGTTAAGTTTATTCTATTCCACCTATGTCTTTGGCGTTTACTGAAAATCAGTAGTTGTAGTTACCACTATGTGGTTTCTATAACATTTCTACTGAGTAGACGCCTTTTTAGTTCATTCCATTAAATAATTATGTTATGTTAATTTGTGTATATGTTTGGAACTAAATAAATTATATTATTATTATTATTATTATTATAGTCATAAGTATGAATTTAGTGTAGAGGAGTGTAATGTATGTACTTATATAGATTTAGGTAGCTAGCTCGAGATTGTCCGTGCGGCGGCAGTCGGGAATTAAACGTCTTAGCGAACGCACGGTGTATTATTTAAACATTACATAAACAACTATTTTATAGTGCCAATCAATATTCACTAGACCAATGATATAAATCAAATATCACAAATAAACACTCTGACGTATATAAATAGAAGACAACGAAATTTGACATTCTTTGGTCGAAATTAAATTACCTTAATTTATGAAAAAATGTAAAGAGTAAAAAAGTAAAGAACGTAACTTTGAATCAAAAATAATTTACCCCTATGAAAGATACCTCGAAAGTCATGACCAATATAAAAAGTGACAGGGGTTGCTAGACGTATGGTATTAATGCAATTTTAAAAAATCTACGTCTAATAATCTCTAAAAATTCAAAAGATATCACTTGACTAACAAACGTGACAACGAGGCGACTCTACAAGGGATCCAACTTTGTTGATTTTGGTATGGAGTAGTATTAAAGATGTTCCTCAACAGAAGCCCACGCGAGCGAAGTCGCGGGTAAAAAGGATCACATCTCAAGGATATTTTGTGCAAAAAAATCGTATCTTTAAAAATATGAGTGTTTATTAAGCCCCGCTACTCCCCACATACGTCTGCGGTTTTAGGTTTGAGTATTATAGGAGGATTATAGCATTGGACAAGTTTCCAGCGTGCCTCAAACGCCTACCAAAAATTTCTACCAGCTCTCGGACTAGTAGAAAACCGGGGACTCTTTTCACTGGAAACGAGGCATCCCATCTTAGTTCTCTGAGGTGATAGTGGATCTGTATTTTTTGATGAAGATGTCTATGGGCCACAGCGTCAACTTACGATCAAGTAGACTATGTGCTCGTTAGTTACTCTCATTCAATAAAAAAGAGATAATCTGTCTGAGAAGAAAATTATGATCCAATCAAGACGGAGTTAGAGGTAACAACTTCTCGACATACTTGAAGTAATGTTGGAAAATAGTTGAGGTTTTTCTGCAAATTTTGTTCTGAACTAATTTTTAGAATGAAGCCTTTGATAAAGATAAATAATTTGATATTAAAAAATAACAACTTGTTGCTTCCCAAGTACAGTAGGCTTTTTTGGTATAAGAAACACGATAATAGAGCCATTCTGCAGCTATATGTGAAAAGGCAATGCTACAGGTATATAGTTGTGGCACAAATGTGTAGTCTATAGATTGCATGGGGGGGGGAAGTTAATTTGCTACCCCCTGGCCACAAACTTATTGAGTGGTATGGGAAGTAAGCTAGAAAGGAGGCAAAGACGTAGTGTGGCCACAATACTCGTCACGCCATACGTCATGCACCTCATCATGCCCATCGCTCCCTAATTTGTCGGTATTTTGGTCGCAAGTCAAAAGACTGGCAATAAGAACGCCAGTGGTTGGCCACACACTAGTGCAAACTGCAGTCCGTATCAAGCGCCCGTTACGGAAGCACGTCACATGTCATTTAAAAACCATAAATAGTGTACCTATCATTATCATTTAGCCACATTATTACACAAGTAAATAATATACAGAAAAAAAGCTATCTCGACGACGACAAAGTATATTTCTCTTTATGACATTGATATAATTAACTTTAATAAATATGCATAGCTCGCAAGCTGCAAGAGTTTCAACATCCATTGTGTCGCAAACGCGAGCAACCTAGTGCGGAGATTCGGGATTAATTGCGCGAGTAGAGCAATGTGTGGGCATACGGGGCAACATGGCGGCAGCGTGAGCAGCAGAGCGAAGAGCAGCGCGAGGAGCATAATATGACGGAGCAGTAAGGAATAACATTTCTTTAGGTGTGCAATATAAGTTACATTTTATATTAATCATATTAGAAATGAATTAGGTTAGATGTTCCTAAAAATATAAAATTAAAAAATTTGTTAAAAATGTGATAAATATTATGTACTAAACCACTGAATAATTGTATAGTGTATATTTAAATATACTCTTAAAACCGAAAAAACCCAACTTCTCAATTATATAACATTGTGTAACAAAAACTAACTTTTTTTTTTATACGGGGGGAAATCCTCATGGACTGCCTCTGCCTGGGGAAAGGCGGAGGGGTGTGCCGGCCTCTTACCGGCTAAAACCACCCCGGTGGCGCCTCGCACGTGCCCGCGAGGGGCCGCGGGAATCCAAATTCTTCCGCAGCCCCACACTAGTGCTGGCCCGGTCTATACGGGCCTCGTCTCCTGCACGGGGTAATGAGGTGTTCAACTACCCCGTGTATCACCTCAGAGGCGCGCGCCGACACCTGCGCGCGCTTCCGCCTCGGGTCCATCGAATAGGGGAGCGGAGGCTTCCCCAAGTCCCTCGCCCCTGGACTTATTCATGGGGGCTGGAAAAGGGCGTTGTCCGCCCTTCTCCTGCGCCCGGTGCGCCTTCTGCGGCCAGGGAAGGGAGTCGAGATCTCCCTCTTCCGTTCCGCAGTTTCCTTCTGCGACATCACGTCCTCACAGAAGGACACCACTGCATCCCACGATTCTGCGCTACCGACCATCCTCCGCACCAAGGCGGACAGCGACAGATCGCCTCCTACTTCATTTGTGAGGACACGGCGCTGCTCCACCCAAGCTACACACTCGGCGAGCGTGTGTTGCGCCGTGTCCTCCCCGCAATGGACGCAGTGGTGGCACCGAGCGTCCGGCTCCCTGTCTATGCGGCACAGGTACTTGCCAAAGCAGCCGTGCCCCGACAGCACCTGCGTCACTCTAAACGACAGGGAACCGTGCCTTCACCCGAGCCAGTCGTCGAGTACTGGCCGGATCGCTTCGACGATAGCGAGGCCGGCGGTAGGACGCAGAAGCCTTTGCCGCCATTCCGCCACCAAGACCTGACGGAGCTCCTCTCGGCGCAGCGCGATCTGTCACTGCACCGGCCCGCGAGTACTTTTGCCTCTAGGTCCCAGGGCGGGGATCCGGCCAGGACGCAAGCCGCCTCGTAGGAAATCGTGCGATACCCACGGATGACTCTGACGGCCATCGCCCTCTGCGGTTTGCGCAGAATGGCGAGAGTGCTGGCCGTCATGTCCATCGCACATACAGGAGCCCCATACAGGGCCATGGACCGCATGATTCCCACGTACAACCGCCTACAGGCGGCGCTCGGGCCCCACGAGTTGGAAAGCAGCGTTGAAAGTGCGCCAGCTGCACGCATCAGCTTGGGCGCCAGCCGACGGAAGTGGTGCCCAAATTCCCATCGGCTGTCGAGCACCAATCCCAGGTACTTCATGGTAGACTCGACAGCTATCCGGGACCCACTGACCACGATGTGATCCCGGCGGCGGCGCGTGTCGAAGGCCATGAAACACCATGGCTTTCGACTTGTTAAGGGCCTACGGGCTACGGCCCTCCACGCCATATCCTCGCTCAGCATCGCCGACACGACTGCTGGTAGAGAAAGGTTCCGACCGATCCGGCTTGCCAGGATTATCCACTCCTCCATGGGAACGCATGCTGGACAAATCGCAAGCGTATGGGACGCGGAATCTTGATCCAGCCCACCACAGTGAAAGCAGTTCGCCGTCGGTTCGCGTCCGATCTTACACAGATAATCACCGAAGCACCCGTGCCCGGTAATTATCTGTGTAAGTCTGTAGGTGAGTCTTCCTGCTCGTCGCTGCATCCAGGCTTCCAAAACCGGCAGGATAGCGCCAATGACGCATTTCCGTGCATAGCGCTCCTCGTTAAGTCGAGTCGATCTCCTGCCGTTTTTGAGACTTGAGCGCCTCATCTGGCTCACTGTCACCTCCCTGACGAAGGATGCGGATTCGGTTATATACCCTCGCATCCATATCCGCCAGTATATCTAGGGGTGGAAAGCGAGCCAGGATACCGCCTCAAAGGATATCGTGCGGTATCCTCGCACGATCCGTATAGCCATCCTCCGCTGGACACTGTAGATTTTAGTTCTACAGCGTCGGGTGGCTAGCCTTTTTGCCCATACAGGCGCCCCATATAAGGCTACGGACCGCACTACCCCAGCATAGAGGCGTCGGACTTCCTCCCTCGGTCCCCCTAGATTGGGCAGCAGTCTGTGCATAGCACCCGCCACCCTCTCGATCCGGGGAACTAGGCGCTCAAAGTGCTCTTCGAAGCCCCAGCGACTGTCCAGGTAGAGCCCTAGATACTTCATGTACCGCCCTACTCTGATTTCAGACCCACCCACGCGGACGCACGAGTCAGGTGGTCCCTGATCCGATGTAATTCGTGAAACCATATAAGGCCTCGGTCTATTTCTAGACCCAACTCGGATTTTAGCAACGACGATTTCCGTCCCAAGCTCGGCGAGCTCCTTGGTCCTCTCGAATGTGGCCCCGCTGGCGACAACCAGTGTGTTATCGGCATAGCACACGATATTTACGCCAGCAGGAAGTTCAGCACGCAGAAACGCATCATACGCGAGGTTCCACAATAGCGGACCCAGCACCGAGTCCTGCGGAACCCCACGTTTGATCTCCCTCCGGATTTTCCTACCATCTTGCCACATGTACAGAATGTACCTGTCGCGCAAGTAGTCCCCGATTGTGCCTTGCAGGTAGGTAGGCACCTGGTGATGTGCTAGTGCCCTCCTGATTGCATCCCAGGGTAGAGAGTTAAAGGCGACATAGAGACTTATCGCCAACGTCACACTACCCTGGGCTACTGTTTGTTCCGACAGGGAACGGACGCGCATAATGGCATCTACGGTGGAACGCTCCCGTCGGAATCCAAATTGGCTGTCAGCCAAATCGGGACCGACGCGCGACAGATGTCTGTTGAGCCGAGTGGTAACTATCCTTTCGAACAATTTGCCAAACTCGTCCAACAGGCTTATGAGACGGTACGCAGAGGGAGAATTGGCGGCCCTGCCTTCCTTTTTCAAGAGGACCAAACTTGCCTCTTTCCAAACTGTGGGAAATTTGGCACTCTGCAAGCAGCCGGTGAACAGCCTTCTAAGCCTGTCCCCCAAGGCAGCCAGACTCAGCACTAGAGCCTGACCCGGAATTCCGTCAGGCCCCGGTGTGGTGTTTCGGGCTCGCAAGCGGCATACGGCTCGATCTAGCTCCTACACAGTCACCCCTATCTCATCATTCCACTTCCATGACGATGACATGTGACCTGAGGGACTTGACCGGTCCTCTGGGAAAAGTGTCTCGATCACTCTTCCCAGCAGGTCCAGATCGAGAGTTTCCGTCAAGGGGGGTTGTCCAGGGCCGGAGTTTTCCAAGCACCATCTTGTACGGCCGCCCCCAAGAATCTTCGATGAGTCCTTCTAAGAGCTCTTTCCATGACCGAGTCCTGGCGTTAGAAATAGCAATTTGTAATGCCTTTGTAGCCACGGGAAATGCCTACGCATACCCGCATCGCGGGGGCAAGAACGGGTTATGTCGGACTCGCACCGACTAAAACACCATGGTGTTCCACCTTCGTCGCATAATGGCAGGGCCACGGAAACGCTTTCACACACATCCGCAGCCCTACCAGCGCCCGCCGCCACATGGCAGCACTTCCTCGGGAGCGGAATATTCCTCCCCGTTCTCTTTCCCAGGTAAGGCGCACCAGAACACATGGCACGCCTTCCTCCACGGCCTTCAATTACACCTGCGCAACGGACGCCACCGTGTCCGATGCGCGACGGCCATGGGGCCAGGAAAAACGAGCACACAGAAGCACTAGCATTCCTGACCCCAGTAGCGGATCTGGTCTATGGCTGCGCCACCAACCAAGATTCAGCTGCAGAGGGTAGGAAGAGCGGTGCCTCGCAATACCGATAATCCTCTCCCCCGCAGCCCCACCACCACCGCATCAACGGTGCGGCCCCGTTTGAGTCGCGGAGGATAGGGCGAGTGGCGCATCGCCATACCAACACTCCTCTTCCTCCGCGACTCCACCTCGGCTGCAGCGGTAGAGGGTGCGGACAGCCCTCTCGCTGCAGTCCACCTGCACACATCTGAAGTAGGCTTTCCAAGCCCACTCGGAGTGACCACCTTGGGCCAGCCCTTCACCTCGGGCCAGCCACGTGGTTTCCTCTTTGTTCACTGCG